AAAAAAGTCTATATAGTAGAGTTTGTGAGCCTACGACGTCGTGCTCTTCGTGAATGTGTTAATTTCACGAACTTTGCTTTTTGAATTAAATGTCACTTTGACGTCGGTATTTAATTTAACAGATGGTTATCTTAACGTGCGATCCGTATGTTTTTAGTACAAAAACTTTAGTTATCCAGTAGTAACGCACGAACACACTATCTAGTACTGAATAAAACATGAAAAATAAAAATGTAGTAAAGAAGATAAACAAGTATGGTTATAGAAAGAAATAAAAGAAAGATTAAAAATAAAAAATAAGAATAAAAACCATAGAAATAAAAAATAAAGGAAAAGGGAAAACAAATACAAGCGAGAAAAAGAAAAATAATAAGAAAAATAAAACAAAAATGAACAAAAAATAGATGAAAAGAAATAGAAAAGGTAAAAAAAAATAGAAGAGAAAAAGAAAGAAAAAAAAAAACATAAAATAAATAAATAAAAATAATCAGTGCATGCTCATTATCTTATTCGTTCACGTGAGATGTGGTCTAAGGCTATCTCAAATAGAAGATTCATTGTGGAACCCAAATCTAAAATGGATCTCCAACATAATATCTAAAGCCTCTAACAGAATACCTATATGCAAGACCCATTTTATGTGCCAGGAGAGACATAACATAAATCTGAGTATCCTCTCTCCAAGATACCCATTTACAGAAAGGATTATTTTTTGGGTCTTGTTGTTAAAAAGACAAAAAAATTGACATTGAATCTTTTCCTATAACGCTAACCAAAGAATAAATAAGTCTTGTATTTTGGATCGCGGTTGCCAGAGACAGTCTAATGGACAGCGACACTGCAAGAACTATCTTTTATTGGGCCAAGAAGAGAAGGGAAAAGATCGAAAGGAAAAAATAAAGTGCTCGGCTGCAGCCCATACCAGCGAAGCGGAAGAAATAGGAGAGTCCACCGGCGCAATGCTTCCACGTGCGGTCCCGAATCCAACGAGACTTTTGCGCGGGGAAAAATAGGAGGGAACGTTGTTCGGCGGGCGTCTTCCGTCCGGCCGTTCGGACGCGAAGAATCACGCCCCATGTCTACGGAGTCTGCGTCAGTCCGCCCACATCTGTGGAATCCGTGTTGGGGACGAGAGCCTTCTGCCTCCGCTGACTTCGTCCGGAACTACCTCCTGAAAACAGAAGTTAAGCCCGAGAGGTGCGTTGTGGCATGCGCCCCGTGCGAAGCCGACACGTAAATCAGAGCCATCTCACCTTGTACGTCGGCGGCCGCATCAGTTTAATCCTAAAAAATTTTGCAAAATTTTTAGCCAAATGGTATTATTTACTTTCGTTCGTTGAGTATTACAAAAAGATCCAATTATAGTCTAATTAGCGGTAAAAAATTACGAGTCGAACGTTTTGAATTTCGTCTAAACCGTGTAATTAGTTTTATTTTTATTTATATTTAATGAGCGATACGACAAGTGCGTCCAAAGATTCGATTTCCGTGACTAACACGCCCTAAATTTAGCCATTTCAGAGGAACGTCGGCGACGCATACCTTATTTAATTTCCATGCCACAACGACGGCACCGATCGCAGCCGGACCGGAGGAGCTCAGACCGAGTGTCACGCTGCAACTGCAGGTCTGCAGCGCTACCTCGTGATGACTGATGACCGCACGACAGGCCACGATTGTCCTTGCCTGCCTCAGGAACACGCCGCGCCGGCCGCCGTGAATACGGCTACCTGGCCGTGATGCCGCCGGTGGGGCTGCGGCCATCATGTCACCTCCGCCGGAGTCGCCGTAGCACGCGCGTGCAGCCAACGGCGCCACCATGTTCACCGTGTACCTGCTGCACAGGCCCACCGTAACTGTTGGTCTCTGATGCATCACTGGAGGAGCTTATCTTCGACCTCGCCGTGGGGTTCCGCGCGGCGTAGGTAGTGCTGCTGCGGGCCGACACCTTCGGCGAGCAGCTTTCCGCTGGGGCGGTGTCGCGTGGCAGCTCAGCCCCAACGAAGTGAATAAGACTCTCTCCAATGAAAAGACCCAAACACAAAATCGGTGTCACACAGTGCTTTTGCATATCAAAATCACGGTCCAACAGAAGGCGCATACTAAGAACCCATTTTGGGTCCAACGCCGGCAAGAACGCTAAAAAAGCGTTGTCGAGGAGAGACGACGCAAAAATCTTGCGCGCGTGGTGGTGGGCGCCGCCGCGCTAGGGGAGGGGGCGCTCGCCCAGGGCCGCCACCAGGGGGAGCGCTCGCCATAGCGCCGCCGGCCGAGGAAGGGGCTTCGGCGCGGCGGGCCCTCGGCTGCTTGCTGCGCTCGGCTCCAGTGCGAGGGTAGAGCGGATTCAGAGAGAGAGCGCGGGGAAGAGAGGGCGGAACAGAGGGAGAGCAGAGCTCGGTGACTGGCAGCAGCCCTGGTGGTGCCCGGCTCCGGTGACTGTTGATGGCGAGCGCGGGTGGTGCTCGGGCATAGGGCGTCGGCGGCGGTCGCGGATGGCGGCGCTCCTGCGATGCTCGGCCCCACGTTGAGCCGGGCTCGCCCACCGCCGGTGCCCACGGCCACGCGCAGCGCAGGGAGGCCGCCGCGTTCGGGACCGCCGCAGCGCCGCCACCTCGGGAGAGAAGGGAGAGGGAGAGAGGAAGGGGAGGCGACGGGAGCTTTTCTCGTTTTGCGTCAGCTGTCGGAAAAGGTAATTTTTTTGGTCCGTGACCTTTTCACTGTGCGGTACCCAAACCACGATATGCCTCTCGTTTTTAGGTCCGATTGTTGGAGACAGTCTAATAGTACTATAATTGGGTTTATGGATGGGATTTGAATGTTCCGCACCCGTCAACACGTCACAACTCAGCAACACAATTACACAACGGGACGTCGTGCTACCGGTTGCACCCACCCCTGACGCCGGCCAAGAACGGTGCCCCGGCCACAGCTGTGTGGCCTGACCATGGCTTGGTCCCTTGCCGAACATTACCGGTGCACAAGGGCGAAGGACGCGAGCGTGGCGGCGAGCGCCAAGGCGTAAAGAAACAACATCCCGTGTCGACTCGACAGCAGGAGCGCGTCGGCGGCCTGCTGCTACAGCTGTTGCTTCGTCCCTAGCCCTGGCTACCGCCGTTACCCACGCGCGAGAACTTGGAGTCGGCTAGATTCTAGCAGCGGACCTTGGAGATGGCCAAAGGCCATCGTGACAGCGCCCACAGTCGACACCCCGCCACGAACAGTGACATGAAGGAAAAAAGGAAGGTCTAGATGGATTTGAAAATAGTTTAGAGTTCCCCATGTAAAATTATTTACTAGCTTTTTATTATTTTTTGAAAATTATCAAAGCTCCTTAAAATACAAAAATACATAATAATAAATCACACAAATATTAAAAAATGAAACCAGTTTTGTTAGGTTTCTCTACATGATATAGGTGAAAAAGAATATTAAACGGACTTTATATATTTTATGCTGTTACAATTGTAGATTTCTTAATATATTTGTCTAATCCGCAAGCCACATATGTCGTTCATAGACATGGATAAAAATACATGGACCCGTGCAACGCTCGAGCTACCACCTAAAAATAACCTCGTTCGGCTTGTTGAATCTTGGTTGAAAAACACTGTTCTGGCTGAAATGTTGTGAGAGAAAAACACTATTTCGGTTGAAAAAAGAAGCCGAACAAGCCGGATATGGGATAAGCCGAATAGGGCCACTGCGCCCCCCTTCCGCTCCGCCCGACGCCCGCATTAAAAAAATGAACTGCCCCAAGCCTCTAATTTTTGTTGCCAAGCAAAATAGAAGAGAAGGAAGGGTTCTAGGTGAAAAGTGCAAGAGAGAAAGAAAAGGTGAAATGATCTAAATTGAATTCAAGAAACTCGGGGATTCCTGATGTAAAAGTTCAACCACACATATACACACACACACATATATATATATGAACAGAATTCAATACTGTTCAGTAGTCGCGTTTCAGTATTTTTGAGGTATTAGATTTAGTACTACTCAATTATTTTTTAAGTCAGTTTTAGCTTGTGGTGTAGAAGTGTGTGTCATACATTGGGCGATGTCTAGTCGGCTAGGAGCAAAGCTCCAAGAGTAATAGATGCAAATCCAACAGGCTTGACGAAGAAATCAAGTACTCAAGCTTGCCAAAGCGATTCTCTCACTTAATCCACTCTCATTTCATTTAAATCCTTAGAGAAATCGAAGTTGGGAGTAAAGGGAGAGGAGAGGGGAGCCTTGAATGCTTGAGAGCTCTTTTGGACAGAGTTACGTCGTAGTAAATGAGTAGGTAACGGTTAGAAGAGATGAGAGAGCTATTTATACTCTTAATCAAATCTAATCGTTCATATCTGCGTCGGAAGTTCCGACACGGATTGTCGGAACTTCCGGCTCTTATGGAAAACACTGTTCACGATGAAGTCAACTAGGCTAGTTCGGCCAGCGTCGGAACTTGCATTTATATCTAAGTGTTCGTGAGGTGCTTAAGTGTCTCTCTTTTGATTTTAGTTTTATGCTTGAGCACTCTATCTTCCTCATACCACCTAAACTTGCATCTCTCTTTATAATACGGCAAACCTAAACCCAAAACAAATGATAAAAGCATTAAAGATCGTTTTGAGTTCGTCCGTCTTTTAAACTTCAAGAATTGAGGGACACCATTTCATCTAAAACAACTCTTTAAATTTTTAAGGGACTAAAGCTATAATATATCTATTAAGATCTCATTAGTCTCTAATTTAAAAATCATTAATACACCAAAACCCACATAGGGAACAAATACATTTGACTACCATATATTTTATACCCTTATTTTGGTATACCATTTACCGAGCCCACAGAAGGCCACATCGCCGGATTCTCCTGTCCCTACGATTCAGCACCAAGGGCCACCAGATCGTGATTCCTGGAGGTTCCTGATCCGTCCAGCCCTCAATTCTTTTCCCTCAAAAGGCGCCGAAATATCGGCTCACCTATCATCTCCCTCCATCCCGACCCTTCCCCTCCGCCGCTCACGACCCCGTGCCAACGCCGCCCCTACCAGGCCCAGCCCTGCTGGTGCGCGCGAGGCCCCCGGCGACAGCAGATCCAGGTACCGCCATCTCTCCCTTGCTCCGAGCTCCGTCTCTGTCTCCTCTGGTCGCCCTCACTATCTGTTCGTCGCTCCCAGCATCGAGGACAATCCCCCAGGCGCATTGCTTCTTCAAAAGAAATCGCCTTGCGTCGCTCTTCCAGGCTGCTGTGGCCCGACGCCGTCGCGCGCTACCACAGCAGCCCCGGCGTGGGAAAACCCTAGCGGCGCAACCCGGTCGTCGGCGCGCGTATGGCCTCCGGTGCGACCAGATCCAGGTACTTCCGCCTCTCCCTTGCTGGCACCTTCGTGCCCGCGAGGTCGCCGTCACCCACGCCACCGCCATCGCAACATGGCAAAGGATGATGCCCGTTCTCTCAATCTCTCTTGGCCTACGTCGTTCGCCAGTTTTCTCACCCTTTGTCCCCTATTAATTACTGAATCCTAATGTGCACACTTCTTTATATGTTCTGGATAAGAAATGAACACAATATTTTAAATTCTATCTATTATTAGTATTTATTAAGGACTATGTCTTTGTGGTTACCTATCATAGGCAGAAAGATTTTATCTATATTTATTTCTCATTTACAGCTAGGTCTTCAATAGTTATCTTTCATAGCCACAATGATCTACTCGGATTTCACTGAAGCATTACTTTGCTGTCGCACCCACTGCTTCCAGCCATGCATATGTTGCTTCTTCCATTATATATTTTTCGTGTTTGATTTTTCAGGCTGACAAATTAATTTGGGAATACTATATCAGGATGCTCCACTGAATGGATCCATCGACAAGGTGAATAAACTGAGTGGTAATAATTCATGATGCTTCAATAGATGTACTATTGCACCTGCTTTCAACTTGGATTATTCCACGCTAATCGCAGTTGACATGCTCCATAATGTTCATGGCTCACCCTTTTTTTTCCCATACAGAATACAATTAAGTGATTTTTAATTTTCCTACGTTTATTCAATCAGCTCCATGTTTATGCTAACAAGGCGGCACTACTCAGCAAAACCTTAATAGGAAACGATGTATAGCCTTTTGTGTTTCTCAGTTTTTGGCCACCAAACAAATCAGGATATCAAACATTATATATGTATTGGTTCTTAGAATGTGCTCCATATTATGTTCTTATCAGGTTGGGAATTCTAGAATCATGGATCAGAGATCTTATCCTATTGTGTTGCATATTGCTTTATATGTTCTCATGTCTCTTAACCTTTGCATATTTCTAAGAATACTCTCTTCATAATTTAGGGGGCCACTTATTTTCAAGGTCTTATTAGTATGAATTCATTAGTGATATGAGATGAACCTCCTTTGACTCAAAGGCATTGTCAATGTATCAAACTGCAGATCCTACCTAGCCATACCTGGAATCCACTTGGGAGTGTTCACCCGCTTTAGCTTACCTAGGAAATCTCTTTTCTCTTTTTTGAAAAGCTGTTTCACTGACAAATTCCAACAATTACCGAGCTACTATTGTTGTTGTCATTTCATATTCTTACTCTACATTGTATTCCTCAGTAGGTGAATTTGATACTGACTGACTTATGTTATATGATCTTTACAGGATGCCCTACAGGTAATCTGGGAGCTGACAGATTTCTTCAATCCTTGTTTCCACCAAAGGGAAGGCTTCATTTTATTTATACCAGCTCACATACTACCATCCTTTCTCTGAAGTTTACAGTGCAGGTGACAGAAACTTTTCATTCTTGCCAGATTATCTTAATGCCTAACTCAAAATGCATGTCTGCAATTTAAAAAAAATGCATTGGAAGTATGAAACTCTGCTCCTCTAATCTGAGCTATTATTGTTGTCATTTCATATTCATACTCCACATTATATTCCTCACTACGTGAATTTGATACTAACAGCTACTTATGTTATATGGTCTTTACAGGATGCCCTACAGATAATACGGGAGCTGACAGATTTCTTCAAACCCTGTTTCCACCAAAGGGAAGGCTTCATTTTATTTATACCAGGTCAGATACTGCTAAAGTTGCATCCTTTCTCTGAAGTTTACAGTGTAGGTAACACAAACTTTTCATTCTTGCCAGATTATCTTCATGCCTAACTCAAAATGCATCTATGCAATTTAGAAAAAATGCATTGGAAGTATGAAACTCTGCTCCTCTAATCTCTTTATATGGCCACGTGCACGTTTTGTTTATAATTGTTGATCCCTTCCACATGGCTTGCTTCATGGGATCTGACAGTTTCAAACTGTCGGTAAGCAGTTATGTTAGTTATTGGGCCTGTTCGCTTGGAGGAATTCTGGAGGAATTTGGATGGTTTGGAGGAATGCTGGAGGAATTTGCGAGAGAAAAACACTGTTCCGGTTGAAAAAAGAAGCGGATCAAGCCGGGTTTAAGGGCACGTGAACGGGGCCATTACCTTATTCTGTACCCGCTCCACTTTTTAGGTGTGCCTTCAGAATACGGCCAATAGTGGATTAGATTGCACAGATCTTAATACATACCTGCTCATTTTGTTTCACAGTGCTACAGTTACCTTAATTTCATATAAATTGTCCTTTTATTTTGTAAACGAGTAGCACATTGGTTACCTACGTGCCCACTGAAGTTTTGCTGTACCATAGCAGGCCAATAAAAAATGCAGTGACATGCATAGACATTCCATGTTGTAGCCCACCTTTCATATCCGCAGTTATTTCTTTCTCTATTCATCCATTTGCACTCACCCAAACTATGCTGCCAGATTGATCGTTTGTGTTATTTCTTTATGACAGATATGTCGCGATTATGAACTGCTGCTGAAACACACAACAAACTAAACGCTGTTCTAGCTTTTGGAATATATACTCATGGAAATACAGGAGATAGTTGGAATTATTGTTGGTATTTTTCCATCTTATATGTGTAGCCTAGAAAATTATTGTTTTTCGTGTAATAACTGAAATATATTGTTTTTGCACCGAATAGCTCACAGATTGTCAGCTGTTCCTGTCAATGCTTTCCCTGCGTCTATACATGCTTGCTGAATCTCAAATAAGCTCATACGTGCGATGCATAAAATATATTAAAAATTTTAGTACCTGTACATTCATAGATTATTTGACCTACATATTGTTGCATGCCTGATTACTGTTTCTCCCAAAAATATATATCTTTGGCCTGATTATTGTTGCCCATTAGTTATTCAGTGCTTATTCTTCACTGTATGCTTTGCATTGTTTGTGAAATTTACAACGGTTTTCTACGTTACCGGTGCCTTCTCATGCTACTAGCCCGCGCAGCTGCGCGGGGTTCTTGCTAGTTTTATACTATATATGTGTCGAATGTCTATTATTAGTCATTCACAATTAAACTTTCTTCTTGGCCAAGAAGGGGCTTATGAGAAGCACGGAACATCAAACCGTGTGAAATTCTTCAGAAAAGTATAGCACGGTGTAATTTACGGTGTGCGCGTAGCAGCGTTGAAAAGCCGGAGCCTTCACCGGTTCATGCATTCTACCAGCAGCAGGGGCGCGCAAGTGCGCAACGAACGCGGCCACTTGTCTAGAGTAGGCAAGAGGCGAGGCATATCGGCAGCCAACCACGGGCACAAGCACGAGGTCACGGCTGCCATGCATGGTCGGTCTCATCGCCGAGCTCCACGTGGCACCAACAAAGTTGTACGTGGATTGATATAGCCCTGTTTGGCATGCCTTCACTTCACCCATGAAGCTGTTTTTTTTGGGGCTTCAGCTCCATGAACAACTCTATTGGTAGAGCTGGAGCCGTTTTGATAAATCGTTTAGCAAAACAGTTCTACATATAGAGTTCTTTAAAATATGCTATCACAGAACGCCACGTACGATGAGGTGAAGTCGTGAGAAACCACTATTTTTAGCTCATTCTCACCCCAAAGCTCTGTGAGAACACGTTTTTAAGGGGCTTTCATCAGTAGAGCCGTTTTATTTTATCCTATTTGGCAAAAATGGCTCCAAGCCCTGCCAAACGAGGCCATAGTTGATACGATCGGCAACTGGTTTAGGTATGTTCGATTGCATATCATTCATTCCCGACTAGGGCCCCGTTCGTGTGTCCTTAAACCCGGCTTAATCCGCTTATTTTTTTATTCGGGACAATGTTTTTCTCTCATAAATTCCTCCAGCATTCCTCTAAACCATCCAGATTTCTTCAGAATTCATACAAACGAACATGCCCTAGGAATGATTTCCGGCATGGATCGAGTAAATCCATGCCCGTCACTTGTCCATGGGCTGGTTTTATTTCTGCAAGGTTTTATTCCCTTTCCACCAAAAGTCTTGTTCAGTAGGTATGGAATCAATCCATTAGCTAAGCTAATTGCAATAAAATGGACTCAACAAAAGATCGGGATTGGTTCCACACCTCTCGACTCATGGATTGATTCCCTGCCTAAATTGGTTAGGAAAGGCCGGGATGGACTGGGTTTCAAACCATGGTGGACTTAACCGAACGCTCATTCCCACGTAGGCATGGATTGCTTCCCAGCTAGAACGATTCCAAGCCATTCCATGCCGTTCCCGGTCGAAACGAACAAGGCCTTAGCGGGTGAGGTTTCGTTTTCCTTAGCCAAGTCTACGAGAAGTCTTAAACCGAAGCTCATTGAACGCTTGCCTGCATGATCTTGCATTCTTGCGATATCATGCAGCTTCCTCTTTTGACAGTTAATGGCAGGTAGGATTTGGGAAACTACTGGTGTGATGATTTTTTTTATCGGTACTGGTGTGATGATTTTGTTTGGTTGTCGAGAGAAGCTCATGAATAAGGCGAGACTATCATGGATCACTTGTTGATTCGGTCCGTGAATGGGGAGGGCCCAAATGGTCGCCGCGTATGGGCCGTTGCGGGTAAACGGCAGAGATGATAACGATACGGATATTTTTCGATCAGTTTAGAGGGGTTCAGATCTATTCGTATCTGAGTCCGGATATTCAACATCCGATACTGTATCCGTATCAAATAGTTAAATCACATATTTACGATGTTGACATCCAATCGTATGCTATCCGGCATGACTGACGCTATCCGTATTCAAATCTAAATCCGACCCATGAAATATAAAAACAAACATAATATCAGTCCGTATACATCCGTTTTCGTCGCTAAGGGGGCGCCACTTTTTAAACGGACGCGGGATCCATCGTCGATTCCAAGTTCCAACCCGCCGCAGCCCGTCCGACTGACGCCTCCCACGATCGCCAAAGCCCCAAGCAAACATGGCGTTGCGACCAGCGACCATCCGCCTCTCCCCTGCTGCCGCCGGCGTGATTTCCCGACCCACCACGCGTAGGAGCGCCGCCAGTGCCCTCCGCTTCGTCCCGGATGGCTCTTGCCGGCGAGCAAGGAAGCTGCGATTGTGCTGTGCTCCGGAGGACGACGAGTGGTGGGCGACGCCGGTGCGGCCGGAAGATCTGGTGGAGCCGACGGGGCAGGGCGCGGAGGAGGTGATCGCTATACGGGACGCTCTAGTCAGGGACCCTCTCCGGCCCGTCTGGCTCGCCTTCCAGGAGATCGCGGCCACCGGCGGAAACATCTTCCGCTGCCGCTGCTTCCATGCCGGCGTAATGTCAGGTTACCAGCTCAACCTTTCGTCCCCTATATCTTCTTATCGATCAATTTTCTTTAAATTGTAGTTGAAGAGTTTCCTCGGCTGCGTTGTTAATATGTACGCGTGTCTCGTTTAACCTGTCTGAACACTTCTGTGGTTTCTAGGATATATCTTGTTCAGATATATATCTTATCTTTCTTTCTGGTTCAGAAGCAAAACTCATCTTGCCTGGACAAAGTCTTGTGATATTACGATAGTACACCTTACTACCTGCAGCTCTTACTTCTGTATGGACTGTCACCAAACATGCATGTTACTCACCACCGGGGCAATATCTTCCTTTCTTTCCTGAAAGTAACTGCTGATGCATTATGACACGTAATTTGCTGAAGAGATTGTGTGTTTCTGAGCAGGTACCTTGCTTCTTGTGGCCGGTATTTGTCAGCTCTACAAAGTGGCTCCAAACCTTTTCATGGACATCGTTCTTGCATATATGTTCTACAAATTGAGCGTTTTAGCAGCAGAGCTGAAAAGAAACGGGAAAGCTAACAACATATGTGCTCGGATTCAGTGTGGTGAGTTCAAGAAGTCATTACCATATATTTGCTGACAAAGAAAGTTTCAGCACAAAGAACCGTTCTCCAATATCAATCGCTACCTGTGATGGCAAATCCAAACGACATGCCCTTAGTCTTGTTGGTACATGGGACCATACAATAAAACATAGAAAACTGTGTATATTAATCCAATAAAATTAATGAGTAGGAACCAAAATTGAAAAATAACCTTCGATACAGATCAATTAGTTTTGTAGTATCATGGAACTGCTAAAAAAAATGCTAAAAGCATGTTTTATCTAGTTTTCTTTCTGAAGGAAATGGCTAGCTATCTAGTATCATCGAACTGCTCAGAATTCACTTTCCAGTTCTGATTTCAGCATTTTATTTCCCGATTCTCCTCCCAATTACTACAGTTCACTGTTCTTTTGTACGCATGAGTTCAACAACTGTTAAAAAAGTGGCTGCTCCATAGTCCATACAGAATACACACTTCAATTTTGGTTGTGGAATTCCATGTCTGCGAATTCTTTTAGCTTTAATTAATTTTTTTTTTTTTTTGGGTGTGGCAAGTTATGCAACTAGCTGATCTCACATTGCTTTCTTTCCATTTCAGTTCTCATGGTTATTTTGTTCTACAAATATAACAATCCTACCAAGGTACAATTTCTTCCCTCCTCTTGATAAGGATTGTCTTTTATTTTTATAGATTGACGAACCTTATTATTTTATTTGGTTTCTTTTTCTTGTAGGACTCTTACTACCACTTCACTGAGTTTATCTGGTTAGTAGTTGGGTTATTTTTTCTTTTCTTCCTTTCTCTTTTCTCTATCATACATTTGCTATAGATATATCACATTATTGCACGATACCTAGTAGAAACTAACGTTCTTCTAGTAGAATGTAACATATAATTTCAATGTCAAACTCTAATCAATGTAATAGATTGTGATAAAAAGCTAAAGAAAAGAACACTATTCTCTGTAAACTCTTTGTTGTTTGCTCTTAAGGCATTTGTGTTTGGATTTACAATCCTAAAGGCCTGTAAGTTCTTCTGTTTCATGCATCATTCATTAAATCAGCACCATGTGTATACCAGCATCGAACTTATAGATTTCTCTATGCATTTCCCCTACTATCTGTATTTAGTTTTTATCATGCTCTGCAGGGGCATTACTATCCTTGTGTATTCATGCACGGTGTTCTATGAATGCATTGGCCTCAAGCATCCAAGACATCATCTGGAAGCAATGTTCAAGACAATTGTAACAACTAAAGGTGGTTTGATAAAGGTGCTGAAGCGTTTGTACTGGGAGTTGATAAATTAGAGAGTATTCACTTTCTCAAGACAAGAAGTAATTTTTGTATGCACACTTGTACTTCATTAACGAGAACATATGTTTCAGTGAAGTATCTCCTAAAGATTTCGTGAACCTTTCTTGCACTTCTGTCAATGTACCACTATCTCAAGATATACATGCGTGTTATCTAGACTACAAAACAAACAAAAGTAAGCTTCATCTCAGGTGTTTGAATTAACGACAAGCACAAGAGCTGATGTCCTAACTCAATATTCTTGCGACCACATGCACGCCAGCTACTGAAGATCACTTCTCTCAGAAAAAAGCGCCGCAGCCAGTCAGCACTGAAGATCATTTGTCTCTGCCAAAAAAAAGGTGGTCATGAACGTAAGTAGCTGTTTCACAAATGCCTGGAGTATGCATAAACATAAAAGTTCAGAAAGAAACAGGGACGGGAAAACTAGCAGACACATGAACAAATTTTATTATCTGTATATATTGATTTATTATCTCTATAGATTGTGTCTCTTATAGAAGCTTTGGCACGTGGAAGTCAATTCTGGTCATGTAGACAGGTCCTAAATGCTACCAGTAGTCAATGGTTGCTAGAACTAATACAGTACAAGAAATCACCTCGGTTTGTCTCCTTTCTTTGCTACATCCAGATAGAACATGACTAGTTCGCCAGCATCCTTAGCCTCTTTTAGTGCACCATAGACTGATTTGACCACGCACAGGCATGAAGATAACAGAATGATGGAACGCTTGGTGTCAAGGCCCTTTGACTTCATTATTTTTATGATCTGGTGTCTGGCACTCAATATCAAGGCAAGAAATAGGATTGCACTAAGAGTCATCATGTTGCCTTTTGCTGTGGCTTTTTTCTGAGGAGAACACTTTGAGTTGTCTTCGCTTTGACTCTGATCTTCTCCTTTCACTATGTCACATTCATTGCAGTCCCCAGCCATTTCACGGGGTGCATTTGCAACCCTCTGATGTGATAAATTGGCACAAAAAGTGGCACCCCAAACACACACCTACCAGAATGAGCAATAACAAAGATTGGATCAAGGGTGAAGGTCAGATATAGATGATGTTACTCAGAACTGTGTTTCGATTTTCACCTGTAAAATGATGTTGCAAAAATCTCTTGATCTGACATGATTAGCAGCGCATTCTTTCCTTGCCACACTTGGAAGAAAACCAGAATGCACACTCTTGATCTTTACTATGCTCTTGGCATTCTTCTCCACCTTCGAATAAGTCATCATCTTGCTCTTGTCCTGTAAGATAATGTGTTGGTCGGTTAGGTTTACATGTTGTGCTGTCTTATAGGAATGGATTGCAAGCAAAGATAAATGCCCATGGAGCAAGAACACATATAATAAGAACTGAGCTCCAAATGATCATGCATATTTCACAGAATGTGCTACCGATGATCTTACAAAATGGCTGGTAGGTTAACTCACAGGATCTTGCATATGTTCATGGTATTGGTACCCTTGCATAACCGACACTGCATACGGTCCTCCAGTCGAACCAGTCTTAGTAGACTTTAGCGTCAAAGGCTGAGCACACGAATTGACAGCAGAATTTGATATCCTGTAACATAATAGAATGAGACTATGAGTAACTATCCTAAAAATCTGCATCCGGAGAATGTTACGAAAAAACAAATTGACATCAGATTACAACTCATGCAAATACCAGAAACACTTGACCCATAGCCTAAATCTGTGGTTCCTGTTCGGTAAGGATGAAATACAAATGGTAAGGTTCAGTAGCATCATCATAGTACTGCATCTAAAATTTTGAACTTAAAATATACAACAAAATTAACTCTAAATAAACAAAGATTTTCCGGCAACAAAATGCAAACAAATTTCACCAAGGCAAATCATAAATTCAGAATAGAATATTTCAATGTGACAGAAAGAGAATTGGTACATCTACATGCCAACTAGCAAATTATTTAAGTGCTGGTACTTTCTGAATCTGAATTAAGGTGACAGAAGTCAGAAGGTGTTTGACTTGTGCCCATGTGACAGAAGGCGTTCAACTTAGGTCAATTTCAACTTCATACAATGATTTAATGTTGCTTTACGAAGTACAAACATTTCTTTCAGGAAAGCGAATTCATACAATGATGTAATGATGTCTTACGAAGTACAAACATTTCCTTCAGGAAAGAGAATTTATACAACGATGTAATGATGCCTTACGAAGTACAAACATCTCTGTCAGGAGGCTTAGGAACTAAAATTGCAATGTGACACTGCACGGCACCCTTGTCAATAAAAAATAGATTTAGATAAGAGTACACCAAACCAATCTTGCGATGCTAATTTACTTCGTCAGGAAGAAGTAACCCAAATTAAGCAATGTCATCCTCTCGAACATATATACTCGAACATAACAGAAAGACAGTAAGGCAGTTTGCAGTACATGCGCACCCAACAATAAGAAGAACCAATCAGACACCGTTGAGCAATTCAAAATCCAGAAACGGAACAGATCCAAAACAGGAAATAAAGCAAATAAACAGGGAAGGTAGACGGGCGGAGACCATCTCTACCGCACGCACATATCTGACGAGAACAACACCTGATGATAACATCTCCAATCAAGTATAGGGGGTAAAAAGAGAAAGCAACAGAAACGAACAGAGTTATCCTGAGTATGACGCACGATAGTAGTAGCAAGAAGAGGCATCAATAATCGGATGATGAAACAAAGACCGTACAGGTTTGAAAGGAAACAGGAAAGGCGAAGAGAGAATGAGAGATCAGACTATATGGAGAATCGGTGCTCAGCCGCCGCGCCTCTTAGAAGAAACCACCACCAACAGCGGACACAGAACGACCCGTGAACTTCTTTGCAAGAAAGCCTGCCTGTTCGTCCATTCTTCCAGCTGCTCCGGCGGCCAAAGGGCCAACCCGGCCTGTTGCTTGCGTCCGCCGCCTGCCATGCTTGTTCGTGCGCGCGACGCAGTGGCAATGTGGCATGCGTGTTGAGTCCGTGGCTGCTGCTGTATCCGCATGGCCGCATTCGAACCGAGGAGCCGTCAATCCGTCCTTCCAGCGATTGATGGATTGCAATCTCTCTGCTCTGCAGTGCGATTGCCGCTGTCTCCTCGTCGCTGTCCCGCCCTGCCCGACGACGACGACCCCTGCATGCTTCTCGGTAAAAAAAAAAAAAAGGAAAACCTTGATTGTTCTTGCTTGATGTCTGATGAGTGATGACTCTCCTGCTGATGGTCGTGCTGCGTTGAATTACCCCCTCATGCCTTGAATTGCCAGCTGCTTATGTGCTAATCTAATGCGATTGCAGCAGCAATTACCTTGTGGTGGTGAACGGTGGACTGCTATTCTCACCCGTGCCTTATGACCACCGTGGTTCTGAAAGCTACACGACCATGGTCCATGGCAATCCTCTCGGTGTCGCTCGCTCCCTGCTCGTGAATCGTCAGCGTAGCCGCAGATGGAGTAGTAACGGAATCACGGCCGTGCAAGAACGCTCCATGGGCTGGTTCCCGATCCCGACGAGAAGCCCCTGTAGCGCGCCCTGCTCAAGGTGTGCTCCACGGAGCTCTTCGCGCTGCAACGCCTCGACGCGCAGCAGCAGGCCCTTCGCCGTGACAAGGTACAGCGCTCGTGTCGCACGTGGCCGGGCTGGCGCGCGAAGGCGCGGCCATCGACGTCCGCCGCGTGGTATGACAGTCCTACGTCTGATCTCGTGCACCTTGGAAGAAGACGACTTGGAGAATGGAGATACACGGAACGTTAGCAAAGTTAACGGAAGTGGGAGAAACCAATAACGTTGTGACGTTTCGGTGCTATATAGTAAACAAATGATTTTTTAATGATACGTTCCAAAAGTTGCAATATTTTGATGGTACGTAGCTAATTTTCCCAACAAAATATTATACTAGTACTAAACAAGCAACATTTAAAGGAAAATTTATAGGCGTATATAGGGGGGGATTACCTTGAAACAGGAGTGAGAGAAGGAGCCGAAGCAACAGCGAGGAGGGGAGGGCGGGGCTTGCCACGGCGGCCATCGGCTTCCGCCTCCCGCTGTGTTATCCGCAGTAGTGGGCGACTGGGGCGCAGCAGAGGTTGGGCGGACGGTGGGACGGGCACCGGCGCACCGCAGCCGCAGAGGCGCAGACCACACAGCTGGGGGGCCTGGTCCGTTTGGTGTGATGGGGGGCGGCGGAACTCGGGTCGCCTAGGCCTAGCCTGCCGCACAAGAACACCAGTGCAGCAGCCTCGGTCTGTGGGCCCGCGCTGTCATGGGGTATTTGAACTGGAGGCCGTGACTGGCCTGAGAAAGAGCCTTTAGTGGGCTGTGAGCTGAATAGGCCCGTTACAGTAGGATTTCCTGTTTGTCGGCTGTGGCTATTAGGGTTTTTTTTTTTAAAGGAGAGAGCTCTATTGATTACTCATGAAACAAATTACATTCTTTCGCAATCAACGACTCCACGTATTGGGAACCTGCGCATGCCACACTGCTGAATGTGACGTGCGTTTCACCAACTGCGTCGGTTCATGAGCAACTTTATTTTGCTCTCTCCTCATATATTAGAATCTCACCTCTGCTAGCATTCTAGACACGTGTTTTATATCATTTACAATAAAAGCGATTTGCGATTCACACCTAAATGACAAGCAGCTAGAACAACCGATAAGCAATCAGACTCAATAATGGTTTTACTCCGTGACCATTCCAAAGCCAGTCGCACCCTTCTAGGCAAGCTAAGGCTTCAACCTGACTATTAGTTAAATGATGAACTAAAAATTAGCTCATAAAAAGTCCTCAAATTCTCAAGGTCACTAACCACCATGAGAAAAACAAAAAACTTGTTATCGTTTGTATACATCGGTCGCCTAAAATCAGTGTCGCTCACAATTCTGGTGGTGAGCTGCATATTGTGGAGGGCTGGAGGTGAACGGCGGACCGTTGGATGGTGATCCAACGCACCAGATACGTTGAGAGGAGAACAGCTCCAACTCAGGGGACTGGAAGCTAATAAATTCCATTTTTGTATAAATAAAAAATGGGAGAATTGGTTTCATAGCACCGGAAGAATGCGAGATTCAGAAAATACCATCGAAAGTTCATCATATCGTAAAATACCATTGAAAGTGAATATCCGTTCTACAATCTAGCACTCCATTACTTTCGTTGTTAACGTCGTTTGTTGGCATCCGTCCGTGGACCCCGCTTCACTAAAAAACGACGTGTACGTCGCGTCAACCTGAGCAGGCCGCCTGCAGTGGTGAGCCTCGTCCCACGGACGTCGGAGCTCAAGCCCGGCGCCTGTCCTTGCCTCGAACGCTGCCGCCGAGCACTACAGCGCCAACGCCCTACGTTGCCGGAACCGCGCTCACCCCGGCTCGCCGAAGCCGCCGCCGTTGGAGGTGCACCGCACTAGCCCGCGACTCTGCCCGCAGCAGCCAGACGCTGGAGGTCGCAGCCACAGGCACCAGGGCCTGCCCAGAGCTCCCCACACCGGAGCCGAGTGCGGTCAGCACGGAGCACCCGCACGCGTCGAAGCCGATGCCGCGCCGGAGGCCGGAGCTTAGCGCCACCGCTGCTCTCTCTCTCTCTCTCTCTCTCTCTCTCTCTCCCTCCGCTCGCCGCTTGGGAAGGGGCAGAAAGCCCGTGAACGGGAGAAGCCATCTGGGCATCGGCACCCTCTCCCATCCCGTGCGCACGGCAACTGGCGAGCAGCGCCGCTGCTACCTGCAAGCAGGCCATACCTGCAGCCCACGAGCACAAGTCGTCGCAGTGCCAAGCACCGCGAGTGCCGAAGACCACCTCCGTCGTCACTCGCGTCCTTGCTCTACCACTGCAGGCGGCCTGCCCAGGTTGATGCAATGTGCAATGTCACTAACAAAGTAACAAGGAGAGGAAAAAAAGCAAGAACACAAGAACACCTCCATCCTGGGCGACACAGGCTCAGTGAAGTCGGATTGGACTTCTCACACTCAGTGAGCTCAGCATCACCTTGGCGCGGCGCTACCATTCTCCAAAGCATGGTGCAGGAACGGCTGCTGGACCTTGACGCCCAAAGCTGTTAATGGCAATTGCGATGCTGGGCTCGTGCTGAAGGCGCACCTTCAGGAAGCCGGGCCAGAATCTTGGTGATGTTGATGGTTTGCCCCGTCGGCGGCCTCGCGCATGAGGCTGCCCGCGCCAGCGCGCAGCGTGGCGGCGTTGGCCTCAGCCTCGACCTCGGTGTGGTGTGCGTGCAGGGAGGTGACCTTGTCCCCGGCCACAGCAGCGTTGGCCCAGGAGGCACTCGGCCTCCATCCTGGCAGCGCGGTGGCCGATTAAGTTCTCGGCAGCGCAGGCGCAGCTACCACAGCTGGTCCTGGGCGATGGAGCTGCATGCTAGACGGAGAGCCACTGGATTGGGAAAGAAAGGTGACTGGACGGAGGGATTCACGGCGACAGCAGCCAGCGTGACAGAATGCTATTTGACGGTAACAGACCATTCTTTCAGTGGTATTTTCCGTGACGGACATCTTTCGGTGGTATTTTCCAAATGTCGTGATCTTTCGATGCTATGAAACCAATTTTCCCTATTTTGTTTGGCTGGGAATTTGGTAGGTTTTGTTTACTTGATTTCCCAATCCCTCTTCCCTGTACACATGATCTAGCCGAATGGAAGACTCGAATCTCTCTTGGTGTGGTGGCCATGTGCCTGGGTTTGTCATGAAAGTTCAGAGAGAGATAACATTCAGAATTTGCCTTAAGAAGCTCGGCAGTAACTAGGTGTCTTTCTAATCATAGAAGAATAGGCACCCAAATTCGCCTCAAGGACTTAACTTGGCTGGCCTAGGCTCAGAATTTCCTTTACATGCCCCCAGTCACAAGTGCCTATCTATACTCCATATACTCAGTGTAGTTCTGCACTTCTGGACGATATTAGCTCGTAGAGATGCTTAAAATTGTTTGATTTTGTTATATTGACTAGTGCACTGGCATGGCTTATATATCTCAGTTTGCGAGGCCATTTCCAGTTCAGAGAGTCAATGGAAGAACGATGCAGCATTTAGGTACACTAAAAGGTAAGTACTTTACATTCTCCATCTGCTTTTCCAGAAGAACTTTGTCAAATTAGAGTAGAACTCTGTGCTTGATCTTTTACTACGCGCTAGCAGGTCAAGTTCTAAGCAGCATCGGCGACCATGATGGACGATTTCATATTGAGAGGACTATTTGCTTCACTGCTACCGACAAGCAGGAGCCAGTCGTTTCACTTACCTCAGACATGCCGGTTTTGCAAGAGACAGAAAGTGGTACTAAAGTTACCCCTGCATCTGAAAACTCCTACTTCGCTGGCAGAGGTGCTGGTAAACCAGGATTCATCTCTTTTCATGGAAGCACCTTCCAAAAGACAACTGTGGAGAGCGTGCCACATCCTGGCAAGGAAGCATCTCGATTAGTTTGGTTTATTGGCCCTACTATCCTCGTGTCTTTCTTGGTTCTTCCATCTCTTTACTTGCGCAAAGTACTCTCAGCCGTGTTTGAAGATTCCTTGTTGACAGGTATGCTTTCTTTGATAGTTTCAGGACTGGTGTTTCCTTTCTAGATTATGGATGTTTAGTAATGATTATAGATTTACAGTTTTTTACCCATAAATTGCAGGCTTCCAGTACTAAACTTAGATAATTACCTTACCCCCCCCCCCTGTTACAGCATGTTGCCTCAATGACCTATCCTGTCATCTTTCACCTAATTCATGACTCTGGTGTTTCCTTTGTAGATTAGGGATGTTTCATAATGATTATAGCTTCTCAATCATTTTTTCACAAATTGCAGACTTCCAGTAGTAAACTTAGATATTACCCCTCCAGTGTTACAGTATGTTGCCACAATGACCTATCCTGTCAATCTTTCACATAATTCATTTTTTACAATTCATTTCTTATCTAAAAATCAGCAATATCCCGATCCACTGTCAAGAAAATGCAATACTTGATGGATTTTGCTTTTCTTATTTGCAGATTTTCTTATACTATTCTTTACCGAGGCTTTGTTTTATGGGGGAGTTGCAATTTTTGTCTTCTTGATTGATAAAGTCTGGAGACCTTTGCAGCAAGTGGCACCAAAGAGTTACATTTGGTCAAAATCCAGATTCTTCCGTATTTCCTCAGTAACAACAATGGTTCTGAGCTTGATAATACCTCTTTTAACAATGGGCATGGTATGGCCCTGGACTGGACCAGCAGCATCAGCGACTCTTGCCCCTTATTTGGTTGGACTCGTTGTACAGTTTGCATTTGAACAGTATGCACGGCATCGGAAATCACCTTCTTGGCCGGTGATTCCTATTATCTTCAAGGTATTTTTTTTCTTAAATTCGTATTGGTATGATTGCATCATGAACTATTGGCGTTATTAAGGTCTAGGGTAACGGTTTAGTAGTAGGAGCTGTTTGTAGCCGTTTTTTGTTGGAAAAGGAAGAGCCGGAGCCATTTTGGAGGAGCCACAAACTGTGGCTCCTTCAAAACGGCCCCGGCTCCTCAGGAGGAGCCCTCCCAAACAAGGCCTAATTGTGCTTTCCAGTTATACTCAAGTTTATATGTTTGGAAACCTTTTTATAGTTTTATACTTTTATTCCATCTCTTTAGTTTGTGGTCTGATCAATCATACCTGATATTTGGGATCTGAGACTTGGGATTGGCTATCAGTGCATCAAGTAATTCTGGACTCTGGTAGAAGCATTTTGAAGAATCTATGGCAACAACCAAGTCTTGGAAATGTGGAAGAAAATAATCCAGTGAAGTAGTCTAGTAAATAAGTTTCTGGTATTTTTATTTGTATAAAGTACTCCCTCTGTCCCTAAATAAGTGTCGTTCTCGCTTTCGAGAAGTCAAACTATTTCAACTTTGGCCAAATATATACAAGAAAATATTAATAATTGTAGTACATAATTAGTATCGTTAGATATATCGTTGAATCTATTTTCATAATAAACTTATTTGGAGATATAAATGTTGTTAATATTTTCTACAAAGCTAGTCAAATTTAAGAAAGTTTGACTGGCACGAATACCATAGGGACACTTATTTAGGGACGGAGGGAGTAGAGCCAAATGATGTTCTCTTGTTTGTCCTTTGGATATGCTAGGACCACAAAGGTTAAAAAATGGTGCTTATGGGAAGCAATTTGATGATCAGCCATTATATTGTTTTGTTGATGTAAAAGTTTATATCCTGATAGAGGATTTAATGACACAAAAGAGAACTTGAGATTGACATATCCATCTAAGGAATAGGTGCATCCAATTTTTCCAAGGATGGTTCAATAATGTACACCAGAAAGCTAGGGCCAGGTTGCTTGCAGTCATTATTTCTTGGTTCTTGAGAACTACTGCTGCTTTCCCGACTCTGCTCTTGTTCATTTCAATTTTCGACCAATCAAGCAATTGCATATTTATGTTTTATATGAATGGATAAGCACTTTAATGTTACATGATGCTCTCCAGTCCAACTAAATGCTTCATTTAGTTCTCATCTTGTGATTCCCCGTCCTTCCAAGTATACAGGCTTCACCAATTGAACAGGGCAGCTCAGCTAGTGACGGCACTCACATTTTCTGTCAGAGGAACAGAGACAACAAATCAAACTCTGGCTATCATGAACTCATTAGGAGCATTGCTGACTGTTCTTCAAATTCTTGGCGTTATTTGTGTTTGGTCTCTCTCAAGCTTTCTGATGAGGTTTCTTCCCTCTTCAGACATTCCTGATCCCTGATTCCTAGAAGTTTTGGTAGAACTTTGGAACATGGGAATAGCTTCCCATTGTAAATTGGTAATTGGTTACACGGAACCAGTTCACATGTTTGCAAGGTTTAGCATTTCTTTAGGGCTTCTTGATGCGATCTTCGGCTGAGTAATTGGAGAGAAATTGACACTGGAATCAAATAAACAGCAAATAAAAGGTCTGAGGCATAGGTGTTTCCGTGCTGCTCTTGTGGATCAAATTCTGAGTTTGCAAGTGGATCAGTTTTGCAAGAAGGTACGCGAGATTTAGTTAAATGTAATGCTCCACAAGGCCCTTGCAGAACACAATACAATTCACAAGTTGATGGCAATCCTGTATATCATTGCCAATTGGTCAGACCCTGCTGATGCGGACACGTGGAACTGGATAGATGATTCAAACTTCTCTGTCCGTTTTCCTTCGGAAAACATATTTCATGTTTGCTACTGAATTCAGTTTCCTTTAATTGGGTGCAGCATGAATCACTTTTGTGACGATTTTGCTGCTTTTGGCCAGTATAATGTCTTCTGTTCATACTTCATATAGAGAGAGAGTTCTTGGAGGACTTGCAGCGTGTGGCGACATATAAGAACGGCATCTTCTGCGAATATACTTTCCAGATTCAGCAATTTCAAAAAACATGCATCATTTTCAATCATGTCAATCAACTGTGTGCATCAGATTTCTCCATGCGCCGGTTTGAGGAGATTGATTTTAATCCACCAATCCCTTTGGAGAAGGGGTTAATCAAACAAGCCCGCAAGATTACGAGCCATTTCCATCCCAGTCTCTATCAAGATGTCAGCTTCAGACATGCTTAACTATTGCTATTGGAGAGTAAAATTTTGTGCTTTATGTAATCATCTCTCAGAAAGAGAGCATGTTTCTTTTTCTTAAAGAATGAAACTGGAACGTTTTCAAGCGTGCAGCTTCTAGTAGTTCACACTCACTGTATCAGTTTACTTCTTTTAAAAGGCGTATGTTTCAATTAGAGTATATTTCATTTCAACTCTGTTCATGATGTATTTCGCACGGGCATCCTTTCGTCCTTGAACACCCTTTCAGTTATAGACTACGTCACATAAACCATCATAAACTCGCAGATCTGAAGTCCCTAAAGACGACGACCTTTCTGTCTGAACATGAAAACAGAACCCCATCGCAGGGGACCTTTCGAAGTCACAGAGCACAGGGAACAAGGGGGCTAGGTAAAGAAAAAAAAAAAAATGATGTGCGCCCGCTTCACTGAGAGGATTGGAGGCAGATGAACTCCAACCCTCAAAGCAGAGTGAATTGGGCGCTTCGCCACTAATGTTCAACACACGTAGCCCATCCTTATGTGCAAAAGGTGGCCGGGCTGCCCAGACGAGATTCGTCGCAGCCGGATTGGAAGTTTTTGCACTAGCGCACGCAAATGTTTCAAAAAGAACAGTCCCAAGGAGAAGAAATGAAGCTCAAAACATCACATGAAGAAACCATTGAGAAAACAAGCAAGCTCACTGCAAAAGAAAGCACAACCTCACTCGGACACACTGCAAAAGAACAAGAGAACAGAGTGAAACCCTACTCCTATAGTCCTATAGCTATACAAAGAACGGCGCCCTGAAGGTATGGATGAAACAAGCTTGTGCTGCATTTTATAGGGAGGTTGCCCTGCGCCCCCAATCTTCTCCTTGTGGTAATGGTTTGCTCTCTGGATTGGTCGCTAGGGTTTCGGGCGGGCAGCCCGGGCAGCGGGCAGTGCCCCCAATTGGCATTAAATTATGAATTTGTCTGCATTCTGATCTGAGAAAAGTCTCAGCAACTTGGCTCGTCACCTTGTGGTTGTGGGGCCTTGTAGGAGTACTACATTATTGTTATCCTGAAATTACTACTGTAGTAAATTGTTACCAGGTCTCGGTGCGTTTCAGTGACCATCTCCTTTCTTTGGAGAAGTTTCAAATCCGACACATCCCGTTTGCAGCAGTTTTTTACTGAGTTTCATCCTGATAGCTCATGAACAGTGATCCCGAATTAACACATAGCATAGCATCTCTGTTATTTTTCGAGATCCATTGTTTCGACGGAGTACGATCCAATGTCCGAACACAAATGGGACTTACGGTTTGGTCCGCCAAAGTGGTTGCCATACCTTGGAGTCAACGAGGTGTCCTTGTTTTGCAACGCGGCATCTCCCGTCCCGGGAAACATCGAGTCCTCGGCATAATTTTTCCCGTCGTCACTAGTCATTGTCTCTGCAATCTGCATGGTCCCTGGCTCCCTGCAATCCTGCTTTGCGGATAGGCACTGAGTGCCTTGATCTTGACGTAGCATTGACGAATTGCACAGCATATCCACCGCCGCCTTCACGGACTCCCTGCAATTTTGCCTGTTCACTTAACTTATCAGCCTTACTTATCAGTCATGGTAAAATATTTTTCTCTCACAGTAAATCAGCATCAATCGGCTTATCAATCACAGATACAATATTTTTCTCTCACAACAAATTAGCATTAGCTGGCTTATCAGCCGTAGAAACCATTAGCCGAACAACTAGCTGATAAGCCGGCTGATGCTGATTTATTGTGAGAGAAAAACACTATACCATGACTGATAAGTCGAGCTGATAAGTTCAAGCGAACAATTGCCCAAGGATTCCACGGTAGAGCAGAACCAGAGGAGGCTGGAATAGTAGGATTTGGTGTGGGTGGATGAAGTTAGATATGCATCGAATATATTCGTTCCTCGTTGACTTATATTTAGCAGTATAGGACAAATTCGAGTCAGACTTTATTATTTGATCTTTTTGCAGTTATGAAAGAAGGGCTTTTGTTATTACCATGACGATTTAGCGATATGCTCACAAGAGGAGGTGGTACGTTGTCACAGACTCTAAAGCGGCATGTGTTGCAGTATGTTGGGCACAACCCTTTTTGCCCGGTCCCCCAACCTTCGCATAACACCGTCCCCGGGTCTTGCTCGACATCAATCATTATTGTTTTCGCATGTCATGGGACTTCGCCAGGAGGCGAAGGGCTTCGGCGATGAAAGTAGACGAAGAGAAGGCGCTTCGTCGAAGGGACAAGACCAGGGCGAAGGGCAGGATCCATGTTGATCGGGAGACACTTCGCAAGGGCTCAAGTGGTCCCCCACTCTAAAGTAGTCATATGACTTTTTATACTTGCACTACTACACTCGCACCTTTCACAGCCACATCGTAATCCCATCGCAGTCCAATTTTAGCCTCGGCAGTAAGCTATCGGCAGTGATATCATAGCCCTCACTGTCGCTATCTGAGACCGTCTGCAGTGTACACTAACACCGCCGCATTGTCTTATGATCCGTCGGTTCTAAGGTCCTTACTTCCGTCGCATTGGAGCATGACCCGCCTGTGTGGGTATGCACTAACACCGTCGCATTGGCAAATAATCCGCCTATGTGGCTATCATCACCGTCGTGTGGGCACATCAACCACCTATACAGTGGTCACGACACCGTCGCCTTGTACTTCGACCCAACTATCTACTATGCATGTTCGCTGTCGCTTCGACGAACGAGACATCTGTAGAGGTGAACATCACCGTCGCTTCAGCGTATGAACCATCAGTACAAAGGTCATGGTCACCGTCGCCTTGTACTATGATCTGCCTTTGATGATCGTTTAGTCGGTGTCGGGTTACTAAACGATTCGGCGGTAATATACTTTTGATCCATGCCACATAATACGTATAGTGACGGTGTTGGACGTTTGCACCACCAACGACGGTGGTGATAACAAAATAATAAAATAGCTTACTGAACACAAAACATACAAATATAATCATTACATCCATAAACCATGTTCTTACAATAACAATTATCGCTTATCATAGTATGTTTCTCAACTGATTTTCTAACACAAGCGGTACATAGATTGCAAACTATAGATACTGATATGTACAGACTTACATAATGAAACGATGTAGCTGCGCTCCTCCTATGTGTCACTCCTGCTTGCTAGGCAAAAATGAATATAATTAGTGCATCCTTCAGATTGGCAGCCAAT